CGTCTCATTTTCGCCGGCAAACAATTAGAGGATGGCCGTACTCTTTCCGATTATAATATTCAAAAAGAATCAACACTTCATCTTGTGCTCCGTCTCCGTGGTGGTATGCAAATTTTTGTAAAGACTCTTACGGGAAAAACGATAACACTCGAGGTAGAATCGTCCGACACTATTGATCAAGTAAAGCAAAAAATCCAAGATAAGGAAGGTATTCCTCCGGATCAGCAACGTCTAATTTTCGCTGGTAAACAATTGGAGGACGGTCGTACCCTTTCGGACTATAACATCCAAAAAGAATCCACTCTTCACCTCGTACTTCGTCTCCGTGGTGGTATGCAGATTTTTGTAAAAACACTTACTGGTAAAACAATTACCCTCGAAGTCGAATCCTCCGACACCATCGATCAAGTAAAACAAAAGATTCAGGACAAAGAAGGAATCCCCCCAGATCAGCAGCGTCTCATTTTCGCCGGCAAACAACTCGAGGATGGCCGCACTCTATCAGACTACAACATTCAAAAGGAGTCCACTCTTCATCTTGTGCTCCGTCTCCGCGGTGGTATGCAGATCTTCGTGAAAACTTTGACCGGAAAAACCATTACCCTCGAGGTCGAATCATCAGATACCATCGACCAAGTAAAACAAAAGATTCAAGACAAGGAAGGAATTCCCCCAGATCAGCAACGTCTTATCTTCGCCGGTAAACAACTTGAGGATGGTCGTACTCTCTCCGACTATAATATTCAAAAGGAGTCAACACTTCACCTTGTTCTCCGTCTCCGCGGTGGTATGCAAATATTTGTAAAAACCCTCACCGGTAAGACAATTACCCTTGAAGTCGAATCCTCCGACACTATTGACCAAGTAAAACAGAAGATTCAGGATAAGGAAGGAATTCCTCCAGATCAGCAACGTCTTATCTTCGCCGGTAAACAATTAGAAGATGGTCGTACTCTTTCTGATTACAACATTCAGAAGGAATCTACTCTTCACCTTGTACTTCGTCTTAGAGGCGGTCAATAATTGGTTAAATTTGTGGAGGGTGTGCGTGTTAATTGATATTTTCAAAATCATTCTTTTTTAAACAACAATGTACAAATTGCAATTAGTTTAATAAATAAAGTTCTTTGAATTACTGGGTACTGACAATCAAAAGTACCATATAAATAACTCTGGTTATCGTTGTCGCGTCTGATAAAAATTTTTTTGATGTTGGATTGCAAAAAGCGAGAAATTTCAATATTAATTTGCCTCAAGTAAAAAAACAACTTATCGCTCGTCGGCTATAAATAATATAATGTGGTTTGTTTGCATGTTATTTCTTGCATAATCTGTAAACCCTTTATACAAATTAATGTTATATGTTGAAGCTTGCATTTTTAGCGAGAAATTATGTAAATAATTTATAATTTTATGAAGCATTATAAAATTGTATATAAAATAAAATTTAAACATGAGAAAATAATTAAAATTCGTTAAAATATTTTTTTAAAACAAATAAAATAATATAAATAAATATATTACATATAGTTAATGTTATAATTTATTTAATTATCTAGTTAATTAAGTTATATAATATAACAAAAATAATTTCAATGATGTGTGTACAAGAAATAGCGGCTTTATGTTGCGCCTCGGAGTTTTGAGACCTTACACACAATGTATAAAACACAATCGTTGTTAAAATAGAAAAGTTCAAAACTTTAAAATAAAAATATATTATATTAAGGAATGATCGTCTTTTGTGCTACCCAAAGCCATATACATCGACATGAAGGAATTTTAGACTACATCTACATTTTCCGGTTGCATCTTGTAATTGAATGAAATGTCAGTATCGTTACCACCAAACACTTTTCCGAAACAATATCCGTTTCTGACCAGGCAGGAATTCGAAATTGCTGCAAAATTGTTTATTGCACAGTCTCGAAAAGCGGGTGACACCGAGGTTTGGAACTGGGTTGAGCACGAGGTGACATATTGTTATTGTTCATAAAGATTCATTAATCATATAATTTTTTTAAATGTATTGATAAACGCGAATTGTTTTGAAAGAATAATTGGTAAATCAATCATTACCCTAAAGCTATTTGAAATAGTCTAAACCCTAATTTTTGGAATTTAATTTCATCAATGCAGAAGGTAAAGGGATTCGGTTACTTATGTCGAAGTTCAATAGTACCAAAGGTGATGGATAAAGATGCAGGAGATTTGGAAGAAGATATTACACCGATGGACGATGTGAATGAGCAGCGAGTTGAAGTTGTGGAGGAAGAGGATCCTAGTGTAGGGATTGCATTGTTAGATCTCATTGTTTTATTAATTTAGCAACACCAATGTTTTTTCGTTGTCTGCTTTAAAACGCGGTCGGTGAAGGTTCTTTGATCTCAAGAGATGATTTTGAGTTGCAATGTGTCATTCATGTAAACTAGGAGTTTCCTACGTTACTCACACGAGACGAATACTTGACGGTCAACTATCATATCATATTTTCAACTTCGTATAAGGTTCCCGTACTTTATTTTAATGTATGCTATGATGGTTAGTATCGATCCTATTTCTTTTCTTTTTTTTCCATTTCACTAAAAGGTCAACGGCCTATTATGCTTCTAGATGGCACACCGCTAAAAATCGATGAAATATATTCGCATTTGGTTCAACCGTTGAGACTTGACGATATAAAAACCGCGGGATTTTATGGCGGTATATCACAACAGGTTTAATGATTTCTTTGTTTTTTCATTCTTAAAATGATTACCTGGTGGATTAATCAATTGAATGGTCTCCTCTCATAAAATTTCATCGACTTATCTTAATTAGGATCATCCAACCCTTTCGATTCCATTTTACTTTCTTCATCCTTGCGAAACTGCCACATTGATGAGGTCGATAGTTGGTAATCCTTAATTTTTATTCATTTCAACTTTTGCTATTTTTATTTCTGGTAACATATTTACTTCCAATTTTTGCAATTGTGCCTCGTCTTCAGAATTCAACACAAGCGAAAATCTTGAGGAAGAAGTGATTAAAACAGATACTTCCAAGAGAAAAAAATTTGATGATGATAATAATAAGGAAAATGACAATGATGATATTATGGAAAAATTTTACTTATCATCAAAGAGAATAACATTAGAAGGGTACATTAGAAGTTGGTTGAGTTTCGTTGGGCCTGTTGTAGGTTTAAAGGTTGGGATCGAATACTTTCTTGAGATTTGATAGGACCATTCACGTGTGAACCTTTTTTAAAGTTTGCCAGTCCCGAATACTGTCGCGACCGTAGTAGTATTATAAATTATAGGTGATCTGCGTTCGATGCGTCTTAGGCGTGTTCTAAACCTAAATAGATGTAAGACGCCGAATTCTGAATTTGGACGTGTTTACTTTTTTTGACAGGTGAATGCCCACGAACTGTTCCAAAAAATGATGACAATTATCGTATATCGTGTTATGGATTCACAAACAATGTTTCTCATATGGCATGCAACTAAATCATCAACCGGAACATTACATATTTATCATAATTCTTCGTGTATTTGTCACGTGCAACCACAAAAGAATGTTGTTGAAAAGAATAGACGTCTACCATCATCTCAACAAAGATAGTGCCGAGTCACGAAACAGGAATTTTGTTAAAAAAGCCGAATAATCATATGATGCATGAATACAATTCGAGATATTTCTTGATTCAGTTCAAGTTTTCATGTGGTGTCGGAATTAGTAGTTGGAACAGAATGCAATATGTATTACATTCATTTGCAAATCCTGTACTATATAATACATACGGTGTATGAAAAGTTCAATAATTGTGGACATCATCTTTCTCCTGTTCTCAGCGCAGTAATGAATGGGTATCAACTAAAAGAATTATTTGTAGGAAACTTACCATTCTTTGCGAATGCCAAGAATGTTGCCGATGCAATAGAATCCTATTTTTTGATTGAAAGTAAAAGACAATGCAAAGTTTACCGGTGTGAATTACGTAAAAAAGGAGAACTCACGAACAAAGGGTTTGGCTTCATTTCATTGAGGCCGAATGATGCCGATGATTTACTTGGATTAGCGCAAACTACTCCGAATCTTTTGGGAAGAAAATTAAACATAGATGAAGCACGAAACCCACGGGAACTGGACATGGAATCTTTCTTCATGGAGGAATCAAAGTTCCAAGTCGCAAGTCTAGAATTAGGAAATTGGGCTGGTCAACCCCCGGTGACGGGGGGTAAAAAAGAGAAATGGACTTTCGCAAATCGTTGGAATTACCCTCATGATGAATTAACGTTAACTGTCTCGGAATCAGAGAGGTCTTTTTTTTTAGATGGATTTTCAGATTCAAATACTGACCAAAAAAAGCGTGTTCGAATACCCTTTAACTTATTGGATGGGAAGAAGGGTATCCTCTTTGATTCACGAGAAGATGGGTTTTCAATTTACTTCTCTTTAAAACATCCACCTATGTTATACCGAAAAGCCAACTTTCTTGAGTTACTTTCATCGCAAACAAGATTTCTATACGAGTCGTATGTGAGTGAGCCGTTTATGCGAACCTTAGATTGGACGGGGATGTTGAAAGTGTTTGGAAGATCGCGTGTCTACCGATTAGTATTCAAGGAAAATGTCAGTGAGATAAAGGAACTCCTGGGAAATACTACAATACGCGGTATCCCGAAGGCTATCCCTCGCGCAAAAGTGATCGCGAAAAAAGCGTCAGAATCCTTAACATACTTGAGTCACGTGTTTGAAACTTTGCCTTTCATGTTAAGCTTTAAATTGGAATGTTTGCTGTCATATGGCATTGTCACGTACGATGAGATTCACGATCACCATATTGTAGATCGGTTGATCGAGCTCGTTGACCAGGGAAAGGAGACGATTGCATGGTACGCTCTGAATCAAGTGGCAACAAAGCATTGGGATCCCTCTGACGAATACTATAGTCAACGACCAATAGATGTATTTAATGTCGCCATCCGAAACTTCCGCGGGGAATACAGTGAATGGCATCCAGCAAACCCCAAAATTTCGAGGAGAAACACTAATAGATGGGCGTGGGTGAATCACACCATAATAACACCCACCAGTGAATACTTTGATGACCCCACGTACGAACCGTCGAATCGTATCTTACGCCAGTATGATAAACATGTTGATAGGTTCATGCGTGTCTCATTTCGAGATGAGGATCTTGATCGATTGTTTGTTAGCGAAAAAGATCGTGATTTATATAGGGAGCGGATAGGATCGATTATGAGTAATGGATTTCATGTAGCAGGAAGGCATTATGAATTCTTGGCCTTTTCTTCTTCGCAATTGAGAGAAGCCTCTTGCTGGTTTGTGTCGGCAGATGGCGACTTTAACGCAGATTTAATTCGTTCTCTTATGGGCGACTTTAGGTGAGCAAATGTGCATATTTAAAAATTTTTAGTGCTGGCTATACTTACCTATGGTTGTTTTAGTTCCATTAGGGCACCCGCATTGTACGCTGCGCGTATGGGACAGTGTTTTTCGAGCACAGTCGCTACAATAGAACTTGATGAAGATCAGGTGGAACAGATACCGGATATCTGTAATAACGGATACAATTTCAGGTGAATAAATTTCAGCAAAAAAATCGAAATCGGATATCAATATTTTCTCGTTAATCACAGTGACGGTTGTGGGACAATATCGGAGAGCCTTGCCAAACGCGTGGCGAAGCTTTACTTGGGATCCCGATGGAAAAGGGACAAGGAAGTACCCTCTGTTTTTCAGATCAGATATGGAGGAACGAAAGTGAGTTATCATAGTGGTAATTCTGTTCAAAAAGTTTTTTTCTTTTTTGTTATTGAAAGTCCATTTAAACGAAAAATTAAATCAGGGTGTGGTCTCAGTGGACCGAAGATTAGAGGAAGATGTACTGTGTACTCGTCCAAGTCAAATAAAATTCGAGGCACCAATTTCCAGAAATCTGGAAATATGTAAAGTGATGAAGAATCCTTTGACCGGACATCTAAACCGACAAATGATTATAATACTAGAATCCTTAGGGGTTCCGCATAAGGTGTTCCTGGAATTACAAGAAACAATGAAAGAAGACATAGACTTAATGATGAAGAACGAGGATAAGGCGCGCGATGTTGTAAATCGAAGCGTCGGCTCGCGTGAGTGCTCCCACATAACAAGGAGCATATTGAGCATGATTGACGAGGTTCAACAATTTGTTAAGATTCTTGGGATTTTATGATTTGTTTTTTTGCTTAACGAATCTTTGAATTTAAACGGCGCTTTTAGGGGATGATGGGGACCGAAGAACCATACTTAATAGGACTTTTGGAGTGCAAGAGGATCTATGCGCTTAAGAACTTGAAGTATAAGGCGCGTATCATGATGCCACAAGCCTTTCTTCTGTTTGGAATTTTAGATGAGACGGGTATTTTAGGACCTGGTAAAACTTAAATATATGTTTTATTCTTTGGTCTGATACGTTTTTTTCGGGATTTATAGTTGATTTGGTGTCTTGATTAAATTTAAAGGTGAAATATTCGTTCAAACGTCGATCGTCACATCTCAGAATAACACCTTTTCGAAGATAAAAGAAAAGGTAAAGAGGGATCATCGGGTGCATGTAGGGAAAGCAGGTATGGTATAAATAATTAAGTACTTGGAATCGCGATGAGAACATGGATTTACTTCCGACCTGCATTCTAATAGTTATCACCCGAAATCCATGTCTACATCCTGGAGACATACAAATGGTAACTGCTGTAAATGTTCCCGAACTCTCACATCTCCGAAATTGTGTTGTTTTCAGCATGCATGGAGAAAGGCCCTTGCCCAATTGTTTGGTTTGTATTAATCAATAGAATACTTACTTAATATGACCTAACCGTAAACTAAATCACCATTTACAATTGCTAATCTTAGAGCGGCGGAGATTTGGGTAATTATTGGGTGGTTTCTTCATTGAAAATTCAAATTTTTAATAACCTATAATTGATGTATAGATGGAGATGAATATTTTGTGTGTTTTGATGAGAGAATTTTTTTTGACGGTTCCGAAGAATCGATGAAATATGATCCTCCAGGACGAAAAACACTAGACAGACCTGTGGAAATTTCGGATCTGCACGAGTTCTTTAGCGATTTTATGATCAACAATCGACTTGGCCAAATTGCTAATTTGCACATGGCGTTTGCGGACTACGAGGCCGAGGGGGTGCGCTGCAAGGAATGTGTATATTTAGCAAACATGGTATGTTTACGTTGTCGTTTCCAAAAGTTACTTTAATCAAGCAATAGTTCGTTCATCTTTTGAAATTTTCGCAGCATTCGAAGGCTGTTGACTTCAATAAAACGGGCATTCCTGTGACCGACACATTGCCAAAAATTGGAGAATATCCGGATTTCATGGGTCATGGGAAAAAAAAAAGTTATCAATCTAAAAAGATTCTCGGAAAATTATACCGAAGAATAGAACTCGATCAACCTGATGAAGATTCTCTTCTCGGTTATGAAGACAATGTAGAGCCCATGCAAGAGTTTCTCGCCAAAGGATTCGAATATTACATGGAGGAAGCGGTCATATGTAGAAACACATATAACTCGGAAATCAAGGCTCTAATGAAAAGATATGACATCGACACAGAACCCGAGGTCATCACGTCAAACATCATTAGTCATAATATGAATGGACGAAGAGGACAAGATATTCGAGAGAGGGTATCGGGTGCCGTTTCTAATCTCATATATAATTTCCGCAAAAATTTCTTGATGGGAATAAGGGGGGAAGAGGATGAGGAGACAATGAGTGAAGACGATGACCATTTTGGCTATCACGTCGATATACCGGTGAATGAAGAAACCAAAGCCAAAGCATCGGCGTGGTACATGGTCACATACGGCAAAGAGAATGTCGACGCGGACAATAAAAGACTCTTGAGTTTTCCATGGATAGTTTCGGACATTCTGTTAGCCATTAGATCTGAAAAACAAAGGGGAGATATGTGATGACTCGTGCGTCGGTTGCCAGAAAAAGTGTTATTTAATATGTATATTTGTATATTGATATGCAATATTTGCAGTATCCAATTTTTATGTAGTCCAACGGAATGTAATTTTATTTTTTTTTTTCGAGTTCAGAAAGTGATATATTGTATACGTATGTAAAATGAAATGAATGAATGAATGACGAAAACCACTATTTATGAGACTAGGAGAGGCCCAACTATCGCCGACAAAATAATGTAATTGTTTCCTATAAAATTAAAAGACGCGACGATTAATTTCCAATTGCATACGGCACCGTAATACACTGTAAACCACGTTTTTTGATATTGTGAAATTTAGATGACGAGATTAAAGAATCTCGATATTTCACACGATCCACTCGTCATTACATAGGTGGACGGTTAATTACGTACATCAACCGATTTTTATGTCATGTCGGGATAATTTTTAATCAACTTATTTTCCCAAACAAGTTTAGCTACCTTTAAGAGATTCAATAAAGTATTTCTCATAGTCGGTTGTAATGTATGAAAAAAGAACAATACGAAAGCCTCAAACGAGTGTTATATTCCCGAAAAGGAATCCTTGATACTTGTACCATGATGCAATATCGTTCAAGATTATTATATGGCATTAAACAAGTCTGACGAAAGAGGTTAGGTGAATAGGAAATGCGTATTTAAAGATACATTAGGAACAAACCTTATTAGAAATTCTTTTTTTAATGTTCTCTTAGTTTAACATATTTTCTAAAAGTGCGCAAAGATGGCCGATAAACCCAACCCTTTCCTCGACGAGGCTAATAAAAATCCCCCCCCCTCCTACGAACCTCGCGGCGCTATTCATGGTAATGGTGGGTGCAATTATATACGTGTCTTGAAAATTATCTTTCAAGCGTCATCTTAATCCGAATAGCTTTGCTAACGCTAATAGTACTTCGGAACAGGTAATAGCGAAAAGTATAAAGCTTTAACTGGCGAGGAGGCAGATGCTACAGCTGCCGCTTCTGTAAATCCTGGCATCGAGACTTCGGATCCTAGTAAATTGGTTTATTCAGGATCGGGAGTATTAATAAACAAGAAGCCAAGTCAAAAGAGATTAGTATTTAGGTTTTGCACATTTTTGACAAGCTTTGGGGCACTTATGTGCATGGCAGGAGCCCCTTTGGTAGGTAGAGCTTTTTTAATACTGGAAATTGAAGGGCAGATTAAAGATTAACGTAGTTAATGCGACTTCTTTAGTATTCAAAAAAATCTTCGCCACCCAACGGTGCAAACGGGGCCGCCATTGTATTCACCTACATTGTATCCAGTGTATCAATAATTGTTTCATTATTTTTTGTTGTGTTATATTTTTTGCGCCTTCTGAAGGATGCCAACAAAGTGTCAAGATGGATATTGCACGGAATTGATTCGGTGTTGGCGGTGAGTTATGGCTGCTTGATGGTTTACCTTATCAAAGGATTTTCATGCAAACCTGGCACTGAGGATGGATGGTAAGCTTCCGCTCAACTGCAACGCGCCGAATACCTTTCTATTGCTAATCATATGACCCTTTTTTTTTCATAGGTGCGACTTCTATAATTTCAGCATATTCTTTACTGTATTGAGTTTCTTGCTATACGTAGTTTCGTTCTTCTGGGATATTGCTGGAACATTTAAAATTGTGAAAAAGTAAATTACCTCTCTGGAACCCAGTAAGAATTCGTGGTTTCATGTAATAATGGGTCACCTATTTTTTTTAAATTCTGAAACTACATACAAGTAGACTCGTTCCATGATGCCCTTTGTTTAAATACAAAAGTTGTATATTCACCATTGTCTCCCCATTACCATTTTTTAATTCTCACAATTAGCGCGGTCAAAGTTTCTTTCCTTTATAAATATATTATTCCCTTAATTTATTTGAATTGTAATTAATATTTTGTACTGTACATCTTTATTGAACCATCAGTGTAATAATTCGATGAGTTAATTGTTAATACGACATTCAAAGTGACAAACTAAAATGTAATGGATTTAAATGAAAATGTAATTAATTATCTTTTTTAAAAATTCTTTGGTTAAAAAAATAAGCCAAGGTATATTCTGTAAATGGTTTACTTGACGCTGTTTTTTTATTAGAAAAAACATTATTGTTTTGCAGTTTTTGGATTTTTCATTATATCCTTACTAGTCAAAAGGATTTAAAATGCAATGTTTGAAAAATATGAAAATTATCAACACAAAAGATCATAAAGAAATTATAAAATTATTTAATAATAAGTAAGATTTTATTGTATAAAGCATAGGTTCCAAACAGGGTTAATTATTCTTTGTTTTTAATAAATGTATATTGATTTAAAATTTAAAAATTTTTAATTAATACTGTATTACAATATATATATATTTTTAAAAAAAAATTATATTACAATCAAAAAAATTTTTTTATATATAACTTATTTTTGAAAAATTTTTTTTTTTAGTAATTTTTTAAAATTAAACAAATATTTATTTCTTTATATTTTAATATTTACAAGCCCTTCATATTCCTTTATTTTCATTATAAAAACTTTAAGAAAATTAAAAAAATATGTTAATACATTGGAATTGAATATCTAATTAAGGAAAAACAAGTTTTGAAAATCTTGTTTCTTTCTTAAACTGCATAAGAGAAGATTTGTAACAATTGTTTCTTTATTATAAAATTTTTTTGAAATTTTTTTATTTTTATTTTTTATTAAAATAACAAATCTTTTAAATAATCATATATTATTAAAAAAAATAAACTTTTTAATAAAACTATATACAATATATTATTAATTTGAAAAACTAATAGTACAGTATATATAAAAATTGACCTATAGGTCTATAGCACAGTAATTAGTGCTCTGCAGGTCAGATCACAAGATACCAGTTCAATCCCATGTGAAGGCAATTGAATAGATTAATATGGTATTTGGTACCATAGTCAATTATGTATTGTTTCTTATAAGAAGCCATTTCATATGTTGATTCAGCAGGTGTTGAGATTGTAATCTTCCTGTTAAAGATGTAATGGTGTAATGATCATCTGATTGATGTCACAATGATCATTTAATAAAAGGTGTTATCACTCATTTGGATATACAAACCATACATGTAGTTGTATTATTATAAAAGGAAATTTGATCGACAATATGATTCCGAATTAAATACGAATTCCAATTATTTACTATATATTACTTAGTAATTCTATCATAATGTGATTTTTTAAAAATGGTAGAATTCAATTCCACCATATATATAGTACAGACTGGGCTATACTCTATCTTAACCAATCCTTATCAACTACCAACTATAACTACTTACAGTATTTGGATGTACAGATTGGGCTGTACTTTATTTTATCAAAACCTATATGATATTTTCCTTTCCTGTTGGCTAACAAATAAGAAAGCTTTGAAGGAGAGTATTGTATCAACACCACTTTTGTATAGCAGTGCTGATCAACGATTTATAAGGAGTTGTATCCTGCTTGATATTTATGCCATTAGATTTGGCAGCCTAAGCTAATCAGATTTGCATGAAGTGTCTACTAGGAAATTAAGGAATTTCTTAAAAGAAGAGGTAATTAGAAAAGAAATCCCTTAAGGAGTCATATTCTACTTGATCATAAAAGCCTCTAGATTTGATAGCTAAAAATCAACCAGCAGTTAAAACTGGAGCAATTCATTAGGGAACATATCATGTTGGAGGCCCTCTGCCACAAGGTTAGGTAAATGAAAAGGTATGATATAATAAGCAACTTTAGAAAATAGTCAGCAGTATTCATTGTTCTTATACAAATATGGATCAGTAGGTTAGATGGTTTAAAACTAGTAATAGGATTTTCATCCCTAGATATTGTAGATCCCCTTAAAAATATAGAAAAACTCACTTTAAGGATGGCATTAATATATCATTAGGGTAATAAAAAAGTAGATAAGCTAGCATTTAGCTGTTGTAATAACAATAGACAATATTTGATATATATGTAAAATTGATAATTATTCAATAAAATTCCTATATCTAATACTATTCTCTATAAAAAAAAATAAATTATACAAAAATTTTTTTGTCAAAAAATCTAATTAAAATTATACTTTTTATTAAAATTTATTAATTTATAAATAAAATATAAATTAGATTAAATTGAATTTTAAAATTTTAAAATCAATCAGATTTAAATCAAATTTGAATTAAATTTAGCTTAATTTATATAAATTATTAAATTTAAATCAAATTTGAATTAAATTTAGCTTAATTTATATAAATTATTAAATAACTATTTAATTTTATTTAAAATAAAACTAATTATAAAATAATTGTAAAAACAAAATAGAAGTTTTGAAAAAGGAAATCTAATAGATAAGCATGAAATATACATATATATATAGTAGAAAAAAACAAATCTAAAATAATAATAACTTCAATACAAAAACTTTTTTTAAACAAATACTTATTTAATAATTAATATATAAAAAGTCAAGTTAAAAATTTTTAATATTTGTTTTTTAATATTTAATATTTAATAAGTTTTATATATTAATAAAATTTTTTTTTAAACTTATTTATATTATAATTTTATGATTTAATTATTTTAACTAATGCAACTTGTATTTTCAATAGCTTAATTATTTTTTAAAAATAAAGTATAAAAACTTATCTAATAATATATAATATTTATATAATAAAAGTAATAGTTTTAACAATTTATAATTATTAATTAATATCAATAACAACAATATTAATATAAATAAAATAAAAAAGAACTCTTTTCCACTCACATCAGTACTACCATTTTAGGAAATTAAAAACCAAAACAAAATTTCGTTCAAAACTTTTTTCAAGGAGGGGGAAGGTTCCCCCTCCAAACCTTCTGCTAGCAACTCTGAACATATCCTTTTGGATGTCGTCCTCTCTGATAATAAAAGACCCAAAGCTTCAATCATATATAAAAATTACAAAACCTCTAAAGTATTTGTCTCTAAACCAGCGAAAGAAGTACAAATTCCTCTCCTTTCTAACCATCCCAAATCATAGCTTATCCCTTCTATCAAAACTGATCCCAAGAATCTGGATGCTGAAACTGTAGAATTCTTTGAAATCAAATTTGAACCTAAGAAACAAACAACCTGTCTCTTCAATCCCCAACTTAATGTCTCAGTTTTTCCTCTCTCTCCCAAACTTCTTTCTACCTTAAATGAATTTATAGCTCACCAACTGGATTTCAAGCTTGACAAAGATGACAGAAACATCGCAATCCGAAAAGTAGTCAAAAATACCCTCAACTACGATCTCCATTTTCCCTGGAACATGCTATTAATTACTGCCAATGAAGAAACAAATACATTTGAAGTGAAAAGAAAAGAAACATCTGCTTCCCTATCAAATACCCCAGCCCCAATTGAAACAGTCCCCACCTCTTCATCTTCTAACAAATCCTTCTCGTTTGCCAAGTCGACCAATTTACCTACAAAAACCCAGGACAGCTTACCCCCTACCAATGATCAACATACTGTGCATGGTACTCCCATACAAATTGATGATCTCCCACATGCATATCCCTTACATGATGTAGCAACACATGCTGACACACATATTTCCCTGAAAGTTTGGTCAATCGTAACACCACTCCGCATACTACAAACCCTATTAAAGAAATTAGTATGGTGATAGATGATCCAATCATATCATTAGATAATAATACTATTTCTGAAGAAAATGACATTCAAAGAGAAGATCCTCCTCACATATTTTGGGATGAAGAGGTCTCACAAGTGTACTCTGCAGATCTCAATACGCAATCTAAAAATAGGGCCACTCCTGTACATCTAGACATCACTCCCCTAAATACTGACACTCCAACTTCCAGTGGTTCCTGGTCTGCTAACAATAACAATATTAGAGAACACAAATTTGTTGATGAACATGATGCAATCTTGAACTGGGTTGCCAAACTCGATGACTACAAGCGTGATGCTAATAGTATCCTTAACTTTTTCAATGACATCTGCAAGGCAAAAAAAGAGAGAAAGAGGGAGTCCCTTTCCAACAGCTTCAAAAAAATAAAACTTTGAAGAAGAGATTTCTTCAGAACTTTTACCACCAATGCACACATTAAACCTGCCCACCAAAAAGAATTTAAGGAATTAGAGCTTCAACTAACCAACCGGTACAAATCCACACACAATGTGGGATATTTAATCCGAAAAACCAAAACAAAAATCAGAACCCTCATTAAAAAAACTATAGCAGTTGCTTTCCTTAGGGAATTCAGTAAAGACAATCACAGACCAATCACCATTGCTTTGACTTTAGATTATATTTTCAACTTTTTTTTAGGAGAGAAAAACTCAATCGATAGAAAAAAAATTATCAAAACTATAGAAAATGATATCAACAACAAACTCTTACCTCTGCCATCAACCCCTGAAGAGATTCCATCAGAAATCAAAATTAAATTACCATCAGCTGTTCCAATAAAAAATAGATATTCTATGGGTCCTGTGGCTCAAGCCTTAAGATCCTTTTTCAAATTCGATACTCTGCCCACTTCTTATTTTGTCCAACACCCAACACTTCCTTCAGACTTCAAAGAATTAATTGAGCACCATCAAGGCATCTTCCCTCTGACTGATAGAGCAAGTCTCAGGGACCTCAAGGATATTACAAATT